CGTTAGATTGAAAGTTCTTTACTCTTAAATCATATATAAAAAAATTTATATTAATCCAAGATGATTTGATACTTCATTCTTATAAAATAAAATTGATGTAATATACACACTTCAAAATATAATAAAATATGAACATTTTGATTACCTCTCAAATTATTGTTCAATTTTAACAAAATTTAATATAAATATATAAAGTGATATAAAGTTATAATTTAACAGTTGAATTTACAAAATTCATATTTAATATAAAGTTATTAAACAGTATAATACTTGGTAAAATTAAAATTATACCGGTGTTGTTTAAACCCTCCTTTATATATATATATAGAGAGAGAGAAAATCTGTTTATTCAAAAAACAAGTTTATTTAGACTTACTCTACTCAATAACTCATATTTTACATTCAATCGTATAAATTTTTTAAAAATTTAAAAACTATTTAATATTTTATTTTATTAATTTAAATTAATAAAATAAAGTATCGAATAATATTTAAATTTTTTAAAATCTATATTTTTGATATTTACATTAAAAACTTTCAATTTAACAATTAAATTATTAAAATTTGATATAAAATATAATTTATTAAGTGAAATAAGTATAGATAAATTTAATTTTAAATATAAATTATCAAATTCGTTGTACAAAGTTACATTGCACTACTTTAAATTATTAAGTCAAGAGCGACTATTTATCATCCACAATTATAAAATTGCATATTATTTCCAATCTTCTAGATGATCCTATTTCATAGATGTGGATAATTTTTAGCTTAAATTATAACATTGTTATTAGGTAGAATACATGTATATCTATTGTTTCGAAATGTGCTTTTGATAACTTTTTTTTTCTAATTTATAATATATTTAAGAATTATACTACTTAGATATTTTTTTAAAAGAAAACCCAACACTTTTTAATATTTTTTTTTCAAGGTTTGATAAAACCAACACTCTAGCAAAACAATAAAATTAATATATATACTAATTTTTTTTAATGCTTATCACATGTACTTCACTCCACCGCCCAGAATAGAAACATTATAACAATTCATTAAATTCTCATAAAATAATTAAGAAACCAATTATTATTACTTAGTGTATCTATATCTATCTATCAATAAAATCAATAATTAATAATTAATAATTAATAATTAATATCCACGACCCCTACAGTTCAAAGTGCCAACTGGCAACTGCCAGAAAGAAAATAAGTCAATAGATAAGTTTATATAATGTATGGTACATTGTACGGCCACCTCTTCATTAGATCCTTTTGAAAATAATTATTAGAAATTATTATATTTGTATAATAAATGTGTACTATAATAAAAGATGAAAAAAATAGATAAAATATGTGATATAAAGCAGCAACAAGTTAATTGAATTTCATCTAATAATATAACGCAGCATTTAAACATTTACAATTATTTGGATGGTGAAATGTGAAAAGGCAAGCAAAGAAGAATAAGAGTAAAAATGAAGGAATGATTGTGATTGGCCTTCACAAACCGTGTTAATGAACCGCATAGACTAGGAAAGAATGGAGAATAAGTGAGAAATGTTAAAAAATTGAGGGAGGGTTTGAAGCAAAAAGAGAGAAGAGAAGGGTAAAGCATAGAAAGGTTGATGAGTGTTGACTCATGAGGGGACCCCAAACACATTCTCCACACGTACATCTCATTTTTTCTTTGACACAACGCGTGACTGTGTTCCTTTTCATTCCTGAACCGCGTTTTGACACTTTCATTACCCATATCACAAGGAACACTGAATAACTGCATTAACCTATTTTTCTCTTCTTGTGCAAGCAAACCAAACAGCGTGGTCTTTGAATAGGAAATTCATGAGAACGCAGACCCATACTTCAACTTTCAATTAAGCCCTTCTGCTTTGTCCCCTAAACACCAAACCCTTCCAGCTGTCAAGATTTTCACCGCATTATATTAATCAAATAAATATCATTACACATTAAAATATCACTCAATGCATTTAAATCATCGTGCCCCACCCCATTTCTACCTTGTACTAGTATTCTAACTATTCCAATTACTATTACATTCTGATTCTTTTTTCCACCATACAGCCACGAGTATACCAACAAAATGCAGTCATAAACTTATTTTGACTCGTTAAATTCAATTTTTTTATATAAAAAAAATATTGCTAAACTAGACTAGCTAGCATCACTCAACTTCTACATATAGCCCAGCTAAGATTGAGCTATACTCAACACACAACTCTCTCTCCCTCTCTATCTCTATCTTTATCTCTCTTTCTCTACCACTTTTCTAGTTCAAGTTTGAAAGACAAATACACCATGACAGATATCTTGAGTGATGAACAGATTGTTGATTTTAAGGAGGCCTTTGGCTTGTTTGACAAAGATGGAGATGGTGAGCAAAATTTCTCCTTTTTTTGTAATTTTCATTAAAAGGGTGTCTTTTATTCAGTTGAATTCTTCTTTAGATTGATAGAATTCATATATGTGCTTATGCTGGTTGTTTATAAATTGTTGTGTATCTTCTTAGGGTGCATTACTGTGGAAGAACTGGCCACTGTCATTCGGTCATTGGATCAGAACCCCACTGAAAAAGAGCTCCAAGATATGATAAGCGAAGTGGATGTAGATGGCAATGGAACAATTGAATTTGATGAGTTCTTGAGCTTGATGGCCAAGAAAGTGAAAGTAAATTATGTTCCTTATTTTGCATTCATTGTTATTGTTATTGCATACACATGACGTATTGCCAACAAGCCTTTTCAATTTCATCATACAATAACCAAAGGCTAAGTTCAGCTCTGTGTTCTTGTTCCCTTAGGACACTGATGCAGAGGAAGAGCTCAAAGAGGCTTTCAAGGTTTTTGATAAAGATCAAAATGGCTACATATCAGCTACTGAGGTGTGCATTTTATTTTTCTTTTGGGTGGTATTAATTTTATTTCTTTGATGAAAGCCTCGTTGCAAATACTACTATTCATTAACATCCGTATCATATATATTTTCTGAAAATTTTGATAAAGTGAGAGTTTCTGGTAACGTGAACAATGCAGGCAGGGCATAGATACGTTGCAAATTATTTTACAGCTCTTTTTCTTGAAAGAGTTAGAGCTCTTGCCATTTTTCTTTTTTACCTTACAATTGTTGACACAGTTTTCGATTTTTTTTCTCATTTTTTAAGCAAATAGTTTTAAATTTTACAAATGCAAAAAATTGCAATTATCAGGAGTCAGAGCTGACGCCATTTTTACTATTACTTAGGCACAAAATTTTGCAATTTTTATATGTAAAAACTATGTAACTTGTTATTTTATATCTACAACTAGGATAGTGCACCGTACGTTTCCGCATGCAATGAATATTAGCTGTTTGATTAAAAATGCATTGGGTTTGACATTTGAGTGCTGTAGAGAATCAGAATCTCACGTTTCTGTTTCTCTCTCTGTGCGTATATAGTAAGTGTGTATACACATAGCTAGCTACTCGTATAGGGTAGTAAAATATTTGTTTCTTTGGTGTGCAGTTGAGACACGTGATGATCAATCTAGGTGAAAAACTAACTGATGAGGAGGTGGAGCAGATGATTAAAGAAGCAGATTTGGATGGTGATGGTCAAGTTAACTATGATGAATTCGTCAAGATGATGATGACCGTTCGATGAAACACTCTCACCTGATTGGATTGGACACATTTGTTATTCAAATTTCATTGGCTTCCAACCTCTCAAGAAATAATAAGTGTTCTTATTATTGTTTGTTGTATTCAACTTGTACTAATTAGTAGTAGTTAATGACCAAGCAGTAGAGTGGCTATAGTCAACCACCCCATTCCAACTCAAAATTAAGTCACTATTCTTGTAATGTAATTTTTGTTCAGTATTGTCTATGCTCCAAGGGGAGAAAATCCAAGGTGCATATTTACCATTAAATATGTATGACTTTTACCAAGAACCATATGTCTCATACTTTTATCAAATTGTGTTCCATGGAGGAAGATATTTTTTTGCTCCTGTAGCATAATAGAAAATGGACCTGCACATATATTTAATACTACATTAAATTTGTAATGAAAAGACTGATTCTGACTATAAAATAATCTAACACCCTTCTGAATTACGATTTAATTTTAGACTTTGACGAAAAATCAATCTTTGGACTTGACCACCAGTCTGTGACTTATTAGAAATTCATTCTCATCAGTTGTCATTTTCTTGACCTTAAGCAATTGCAGACTCATTCTTTTCCATCTTTGTGTAATGGCATATAAGCAAGCAAACTTTATCTTGAGAATTTACGTTCAAAGGTAATCTCAACAACTCAGAAAGCCCCGTTGTTATATATATATTGTGATGACTTTAATGCAAATACAAACAGATGGCCTGAATTGAACTACAGAAAACTGGACTAATAAATGCAATGAGGTGCACTCCATTGACTATTTTAAGATCTAAATCAATATTTTTGGGATCATTAACTATTAATTTTTAGTTGGTTATTTGTAAATGAGGTCACAAGCAGTGTTTAAAAAATCGGACCGAAGCGGCCGGTCGGACCGGTTGGACCGGGAACCGGTGGTCCAGCCGGTCCGAACCTTAAGTTGGATCGGTTATGCAGTCAACCCGTTTCAAACTGGATTGAACCGGTCAATTTTCCGGTTCAACCGGTGAACCGGTGGGTCAAACCGGTTCAACTACTTTTTTTTTTTTAATTTTCTTAAGGACCATAAAACCACAAAAATAATAATGAAAATTGAATCTTTTAATGGACCTAAAATATCCACAAATCGTACGGTGAGAAAAGAAAATATTTATATATGTAGACATATTATCTCATTATAACTTAATATTCATAAATATTTCGACATATCGTATTTCAATCAATCATGCATTGTCATCACGTCATAATTCTCAATCACACCAATCATCACAAATCTTGCACTTCACACTATGCCAAGGTCACGCTACCCATTTAACAATCTCAGGCCGTGCTCACCCTTGATATAACACTGTGCCAATGTCACGTTATCCCTATCCTAGGGCCGTGCTCACCCCTGATATAACACTGTGCCAAGGTCACGTTATCCCTATCTCAGGGTCGTGCTCACCCCTGACATGTTAACCAAGGTCACGATACCCATGTAACAATCCAGGGCCGTGCTCACCCCTGATATAACACTGTGCCAAGGTCACGTTACCCCTAACCTAGGGCCGTGCTCACCCCTGACATGTTAACCAAGGTCACGATACTCACGTAACAATCTCGGGCCGTGCTCACCCCTGGTCATAGGTGTGAAGAACCACAATCACATCTCATTCACATTCCACACAACATCTCATAATTCAATTCCATACGCACATCTCAAGCAATTCACATCTAAGTCATCAATTTTTATCAAGTAATATAGCAATAATATTCATAAATTAATATAATAATTAATTTTAATACAATCTTAACATAAACGATAAAATTCCCAATTATTCCAAAACCTAACTCACAGGCACTTTTTTACAGTTTCGTTCTTCCTCTCAGGTCATCATTCTTACAAATTAAATATGTATTTCTAATCCTCAACACATACAGAATCTAATAGGATCATTAATTTCTCAAACAGAAATATTCTAATTTTTCCAAAACTTAGCTTACAGGCACTTTTCTATAATTTCGTTCTCTCTC